TCTCAAACTCTTCCAAAATATAGCAGAGGGAGGAACACTCCCAAACTCATTCTACGAGGCCACCATCAACCTGATAACAAAACCAGAAAAGGATGCCACAAGAAAGAAAACTACAGACCAATATCACTGATGAACATAGATGCAAAAATCCTCAACAAAATACTAGCAAACAGAACCCAACAGCACATTAAAAGGATCATACACCATGATCAAGTGGGGTTTATTCCAGGAATGCAAGGATTCTTCAATATACGCAAATCAATCAATGTGATACACCATATTAACAAACTGAAGGAGAAAAACCATATGGTCATCTCAATAGATGCAGAGAAAGCTTTCGACAAAATTCAACACCGATTTATGATAAAAATCCTGCAGAAAGTAGGCATAGAGGGAACTTTCCTCAACTGAATAAAGGCCATATATGACAAACCCACAGCCAACATCGTCCTCAATGGTGAAAAACTGAAACCATTTCCACTAAAATCAGGAGCAAGACAAGGTTGCCCACTCTCGCCACTATTATTCAACATACTTTTGGAAGTTTTAGCCACAGCAATCAGAGAAGAAAAAGAAATAGAAGGAATCCAAATCGGAAAAGAAGAAGTAAAGCTGTCCCTGTTTGCAGATGACATGATACTATACATAGAGAATCCTAAAGATGCTACCAGAAAACTGCTAGAGCTAATCAATGAATTTGGTAAAGTAGCAGGATACAAAATTAATGTACAGAAATCTCTGGCATTCCTATACACTAATGATGAAAAATCTGAAAGTGAAATCAAGAAAACACTCCCATTTACCATTGCAACAAAAAGAATAAAATATCTAGGAATAAACCTACCTAAGGAGACAAAAGACCTGTATGCAGAAAATTATAAGACACTGATGAAAGAAATTAAAGATGATAGAAATAGATGGAGAGATATACCATGTTCTTGGATTGGAACAATCAACATTGTGAAAATGACTCTACTAACCAAAGCGATCTACAGATTCAATGCAATCCCTATCAAACTACCACTGGCATTTTTCACAGAACTAGAACAAAAAATTTCACAATTTGTATGGAAACACAAAAGACCCTGAATAGTCAAAGCAATCTTGAGAACGAACAACAGAGCTGGAGGAATTAGGCTCCCTGACTTCAGACTATACTACAAAGCTATAGTAATCAAGACAGTATGGTACTGGCACAAAAACAGAAATATAGATCAATGGAATAGAATAGAAAGCCCAGAGATAAACCCATGCACATATGGTCACCTTATCTTTGATAAAGGAGGCAGGAATGTACAGTGGAGAAAGGACAGCCTCTTCAATAAGTGGTGCTGGGAAAACTGGACAGGTACATGTAAAAGTATGAGATTAGATCACTCCCTAACAGCAAAAATAAGCTCAAAATGGATTAAAGACCTAAATGTAAGGCCAGAAACTATCAAACTCTTAGAGGAAAACATAGGCAGAACACTCTATGACATGAGTCACAGTGAGATCCTTTTTGACCCATCTCCTAGAGTAATGGAGATAAAAACAAAAATAAACAAATGGGACCTAATGAAACTTCAAAGCTTTTGCACTGGAAAGGAGACCATAAACAAAACTGAAAGACAACCCTCAGAATAGGAGAAAATATTTTCAAATGAAGCAACTGACAAAGGATTAATCTCCAAAATTTACAAGCAGCTCATGCAGCTCAATAACAAAAAAACAAACAATGCAATCCAAAAATGGGCAGAAGACCTAAATAGACATTTCTCCAAAGAAGATATACAGACTGGCAACAAACACATGAAAGAATGCTCAACATCATTAATCATTAGAGAAATGCAAATCAAAACTACAATGAGATATCATCTCACACTAGTCAGAATGGCCATCATCAAAAAATCTAGAAACAATAAATGCTGGAGAGGGTGTGGAGAAAAGGGAACCCTCTTGCACTGCTGGTGGGAATGTGAATTGGTTCAGCCACTATGGAGAACAGTATGGAGGTTCCTTAAAAAACTACAAATAGAACTACCATATGACTTGCTTGCTTTCATTCTATCAGTCTTCTCAGAGTCGAAGCCAGTGACCTACGTGATCTGGCAACTCTGACATCATCACCCATTGCTCTCTCACTCTCTTGCTTTTACTTCAGTCACTGGCATCATTCTGATTCCTGAATATCAGTCACACTCCTACCTCAGGATCTTTGTAACTGTTGTACCCTCTATCTTTTTCAAGTACTATGGAATATACTTATTTTAACTTCTTATATCTATGAATGCATTTATTACATTTATTTTCTGCCTCTCTCAAGCAATATCATCTCCATCAGTCCTTAAAAAGGAAAGAGTTAAAAAAAAATACTGTGCACAGTGGAGACAACTTTGAAATTTAAGAATAAATTTAACAAGAAAATCGATAGGGCCTTCATGAAAAAGACTAAAATTTTAATGAAATCTGTAAAATATAGGATATATAAACAATGCTTTTGGATGAGAAGAATCAATATTTTAAAAAATCAATACATTAAAAATTAATATATTACCAATACCTGACCATTTCTAACTTTCAAATAATTGGCTAAAATGATCCTTCAACATACAGGGGAAAAATAAATGTCCATGAATATACAAGGAAAATATTGGAAATGCATTATAATTTAGTATATAATTCACAGTAACAGGGCCATTGAATATTTTTTCCAGTGATTCAATACGAAAAATGATTTTGCCAACCATGTCCATTAGCTTTCAAATCTGATTTATTTGTCAGCAACTCAATTATATATACTCACAAACATAATTATTAAAAGTTTTGCCAATCTATTTCTAGGCTTGTTCAAACCTCATTGTATATTTCTTCCTATTATAATTATACTGTGATGACTTAAATCTTACGACATAAGACTACCAGAAATGGGTTTGTTTACAGGTTCTAAAAATGAATAATAAAGCATTTAAAAAATAAATCTGGTAATTTCTAGTCAATATGTAGAATTAGTTTGCTTTCAATGTTTGTATATATTTTTTCTAAGTATGATACCTGTGGGTCTAGTGCCTTCTGAGTTAATGTAATAAGAAAGGAACTCTGTCCATTCCCCTCCCATTGAATTTAGTCAGATGTTTTCCTTCAACTTCTCTAGCCCACTGATTCTTGTTATGTTCATGATAGCAACATTCTTAACATTTTTCTGATTGTGAAAATGATCCATATATATATTATGAAGACTCAAACAATACAGAAGAGAAGAAACACATACTCAAACACACACAAGTGCAGGATAGAAAAGAAAATTACATTCATTCTTAATTTGAATATTGCACTTACTGAATACAAAACAATTCCAGTTTGGAAATATGTGAAATTTATGTGTGGTAGCCTGGTCTAGCCAAATCCATCTTAACTAACCAACCTTTGTCGATGCACTGCCAACCTCTGGACCCTGAGCATATAGATATTTCCTTTCTGGATTGATAACATGAAACAGAAACCATCTGTCTTCCTCTTATCTCCTTTTCTTCTTCCTGGCAATTCCTCTGAATTTTCCACTCCTATCCCTTTGAAATGTCTACCTCCTATATCTTCAACTACTTTCTTTCTTTTTTGTTTTCTTTCCCTTAGACAAAATTTAGGCTTATCCCTCCCATCTGAAAAAGTCATCTGTTGTCTCTACTTTTCCCTATATCCACTATAGAGTCTAAAAGCATTTCTACTATCTTATTTTCCATTTATTTCTCAATTACTTGCAATCTGGCTTGCTTTATCAACTCTCTATGGAAGTGATTCTGGCATAGTTCACCAATGACCTCTGTATTTCCAAATTCAGTGGAAACAATTTAGCTTTTATTTATTGATCCTCCATGGCTCTCTGCTCCCTGATATCATATCCTTCTGGTTCTCATACTTTTGCAGATATTTATCTCTTTCCGAACTTATATTTCCCACATAAACCTTAAATGTCCTGTTGCATAGGATACATTATGTAGCAAATTCTTAATTGCTAAAATGAGATGGATAATCTCATCTTTTAAAATGTTTTCAATGATTACCCACATATACAAAATTCCCCAAACTCTACTTCCCACAGAGATCTCTGTCCTCAGCTACAGATTCACAAACTCAGTTCCCTACTGGACGTTTCTATCTGGGTATGACAGTGGCACCCCAAATTCAACAGATTTAAAACAAAACTGATTTTTCCTTAGGCATCTTCTTGTATGCTCCCTGTCTTAACTGGTAGTACCACAATCCACTTAGCCAGAAACCAGTTTTTCTCAAAATTTCTCTATCTTTCAGGGTTCGAATCAAGATGGCAGAGTAAGATAACATGGACCTCACCTCCCCCCATGAACACATCAAAGATACATCTACATTATGAATAATTCTCACTGAAAACTAACAGGAAACTGGTAGAAGAACTTCCGTACAACAAAGGCTGTAAGAAATATACACACGTAATTGAGTAGGAAGGGAAGAAAATTGATTGGGTTGGGATTTGTGCCCCTGGGAGGGGATCAGAGGAAAAGAGACATTACATGGGCAGATACCCACCTTGGGAAGTGAGCAAGTTGAGCCACAGATTGGGAGCTCTAGTCCTAGGGTCCTACACAGTAGACAAGCCTCCTTGGCTGGTTGGAGGACACTGGGACAAACGGAAGAGCTGTGGGAAGCCTGGACTCCATTCACGAGGAGTCTGCACATGCTGGCTAGACCTTGAGGCAGGGCAGAGAGAGGTCTGCTCTACTGGCTGCCAGGTTTCCTGCAACCACGGTGTCATATGTTCCAGCCCAGACTGAGTGAGTTCTGTGGCCCTACTCACTCATGTCACAGCATGGCACTGGATCTAGGGTGGCCACAACCCAGTAAAAGACATGACCATGGGATGCAGAAGTGACTTGGTCCAGGGACAGCGACTGCATGGGGTGGTGGTGGCCATTGCTTGTGTTTGCTCAAGCAGTGCCTCAGAAGCATCCCAGATCTCTGATGGTGGCTACTCCACCATAGCTTACCTTGTATACATGCCAAGAACCCATGCAGGCCCCACCTGCCCTGTGGAGCAGTTCCACAACAGGGCAGGGATGGCAGGGGCTGGGGCACTCATAGGCTGTGGGGGACAAAGGGGGCTTGCACCCAAGGCTGCATTCGAGCAGAGCTGCAGGTTCTTGCACAGGCAGAGCACTGGTACTCTGTCTGCACATGGGCCCCACTTGCTTCAACACTCCCCCTCTCCAGGACAAGGGTCCTGGTACAGGGAGAAGGAAAAACACACACTTAAAGGGAACAGAGCAAGCTTGGGCCCAATCCACAGGGCTTCTGCTCTAGCAACTTGGGATCAGACTCTGCCTCCAATAGGGTGGTGCTGGCCACTGAGCAGATGGGAAGACCTGAGTCATACCTGGTGCCAGCTCTAGCCTCTCCAGCTCCAGTCCCACTTCCAAAAAGGTGATAGCTGCCAGCACTCCTTGAGAAAAGATATTCCTAGAGTCCTCATCAAATCAGCTCTCCCACCAAAGGCACTGGGCACATTCAGCCTGTATAGGGATGCTCGCACATAAGATCACCTCTTCAAGACTGCAATACTTAACTGTTTCACCTAAATTCATAGAGGCAGAGAAAGTTAAGCAAAATGAAAAGGCAGAGGAACTAATCACATTTGAAAGAGCAAGAGAAAAACATCTGGAAAAATAAATAATGAAACAGAAATAAACAATTTACCAGATAAAGAATTCAAAGCATTGGTAATAAAAAAAAAAACATTAACTGGATTAGGGAAAAGAATTGATATAAACATCGAACATTTTAATGAGGAACTAGAAAATAAAAAAGACCTAATCAGAAATGAAGAATTCAGTAGCCGAAATAAAAAACACACTAGAGGGAATGAACAGCAGACTAAGTGATACAGAAGAATGCATAAGTCACCTGGAGGATAGAATAATGGAAATCACCCAATCAGTACAGCAAAATGAAAAACAAATTTTAAGAAATAAAAGCAATTTAGAGATCTCTGGGATAACATTAATTGTAGCAATATTCACAACTCAAAATTCACACTCAACATTCTCCCAGAAGAAGAGAGAGAAGGGGAATGAAAATGTATTTGAATAAAGTATAGCTGAACACTTCCCAAACCTGAAGAAGGAAACAGATACTCAGATACAGGAATCATAGAGGGTCCCAAACAAGATGAACCCAGGCAGACCCACATCAAAACATATCATAAGTAAAATAGCAAAAGTTAAAGAGAATTTTAAAGGCAGCAAGACAAAAACAAGGAGTCATATACAAGGAAATCCCCATAAGGCTATCAGCTGATTTCTCTGCAGAAACTTGGCAGGAAAGAAGGGAGTGGCATGATGTATTCAGAGTGATAAAAGGGAAAAACATGAAATCTAGGATGCCCTACCCAGCAAGATTATTATTTAGAATGGAAGGAGAGATAATGAACTTCTCAGAAAAAGAAAAACAAAAGAGTTCATCAATACTAAACCTACCCTAAAGGAAAGGTTAAAGCATCTTATCTAAGTGGAAAAGAAGCAAGAACCTATAGGAAAGGGAAAATCCCACTAGGAGAGGCAAATATATAGTCATGACTGAGGATCAACCACTTAAATAAGCCAGCATGAAGATTAAAAGTTAAGGAATAAACATGAAGATGTAAAATATGAGATCAAAAACACAAAATGTGGGGGAGACGAGTAAAAAATGTGATCTTCCTGCATGTGCTTGAACTTATGAGACTAACAGTTTAAAACAAGTAAATATAGGTCAACATATATGAACCTTAAGGTAAACGCAAGTCAAAAACTTACAATAGATTCACAAAAACTAAAAAGAGAGGAACACAATCATACTAGTAGAACCACAAGGGAAGAAACAGAAAGAATAAATAAACAGAGAAGAGCAACAAAAACAACTGGAAAGTAATAAAATGGCATTAAGTACATACCTATCAATAATTACTTTACATGTGAATGATTAAATGCTCAAATCAAAAGACATGTGGTGGTGGACTGAATAAAAAACAAGATCCACATATAAGCTTCCTGAAAGATATTAACTTCAGAGCTAAAGACACACACAGACTGAAAATGGAGGGATAGAAAAAGATATATCATGCAAACAGAAATAAGAAAGGGGAGGTACAAGACTCATATCAGACAAAACAGACTTTAACACAAAGGCTATAACAAAAGATGAAGAAGTGCATTATATAATGATAAAGGGATCAATATAAGAAGAGGATATAACATTTGTAAACATATATGCACCCAGTACAGAAGCACCTAAATATATAAAGGAGATATCAACAGACATGAAAGGAGAAATATACAATAATACAATAATAGTGTAGGACTTTAACACCCTAGTTTCATCAATGGACAGATAATTCAGACAGAAAATCAATAATGAAAGAGTGGTCCTAAATGCACAATAAATATCTACAGGACATTCCATCCAAAACAAGCAGAATACACATTCTTTTCAAGTGCACTTGGATTGTTGTACAGGACAGATCACACGCTATGCCACAAAACAAATCTCAACAAATTTAAGAAGACAAATTATTTCAAGCGTTTTTCTGATCACAATGGTATGAAACTAGAAATCAATTACAGGAAGAAAAATGGAAAAAGAACAAACACGTGGAGACTAAACATGATATTAAAAAAACACAGGGTCAACAGTAAAATCAAAGAGGAAATCAGAAAATACCTCAAGACAAATGAAAATGGAAACACAACACTCTAAAATCTATAGGATGCAGCAGAAGCAGTTTTAAAAGGAAAGTTCATAGTGATACAGGGGTTCCTCAATAAACAAGAAAAATCTCAAATAAATACTCTAACCTACCTCTTGAAAGAATTGGAAAAAGAAGAACAAACAAAGCTCAACTTCAGCAGAAGGAAGGAAACAATAAAGGTCAGAGAGGAAATAAATGAAATGGAGATTTTTAAAAAACAGAAAAGATCAATGAAATCAAGAGCTGATTTTTTTGCAAAGGTAAACAAAAGTGATAATCCTTTGGCCAGGCTCACCAAGAAGAAGAGAGAGAGGACCCAAATAACAAAATAAGAAAGGAAAAGGAAGAAATAACAACTGATACCACAGAGATACAAAAAAAATCATAAGAGATTACTACAAACAGTTATATGCCAACAAATTGGACAACCTAGAAGAAGTTAAGAAATTTCTAGAAACATACAACTGGCTAAAATTGAGTCAAGAAGAAACAGACAATTTGAACAGACTGATCACTATTAGTGAAATTAAATATGTAATTAAAAGAAAAAAAGACTCAGCAAGCAGAAGTCCAGGACTGGATGGCTTCACTGGGGAATCCTCCCAAACATATAAAGAAGTAATACCTATTCTTCTCAAAATACTCCCCCAAATTGAAGAGGATGGAATAATATCAAATTCATTCTCTGAGTCCAGTACTACCCTGATAACAAACCCAGAAAAAGACACTACAAAACAAAATCACAGGCCAATATCTTAGATGAATATAGATGCAAAACTCCTCAACAAAAAGAATCCAACAGGGCTTCCCTGGTGGCGCAGTGGTTGAGAGTCCGCCTGCCGATGCAGGGGACACGGGGCCTGTGCTCCGCAACGGGAGAGGCCTCAACAGTGAGAGGCCCGGGCACTGCAAAAAAAAAAAAAAAAAAAAAAAAAAGAAAATAAAAGAATCCAACAATATATAAAAAGGATCATACATCACGATCAAGTTGGTTTTGTTCCAAGAATGCAAGAATGGTTCAATGTTCACAAATCAATCAATGTGATACACCACATTAACAAAAGCAGGATAAAAATCACATGATCATCTCAGTAGATGCAGAAAAAGCATTTTACAAAATTCAACATCCATTCATGATAAAAACTCTTATCAAAGTGGGAACAGAAGGAACATAGCTCAACATAATAAAGGCCATTTATAACAAGCCTTCAGCTAACATCATACTCAACAGTGAAAAGCTGAAAGTGTTTCCTCTAAATTCAGGAACATGACAAGGAGGTCCACTCTCACCACTTCTATTTAACATAGTATTGAAAGTCGTATCCACAACAATAAGACAAGAGAAAGAAATAAAAGACATCCAAATTGGAAGGGAAGAAGGAAAACCATTACTATTTGCAGATGTCATGATACTTTATATAGAGAACTCTAGGGGACTTCCCTGGTGGCACAGTGGTTAAGAATCCACCTGCCGGTGAGGGGACAAAGGTTCGAGCCCTGGTCTGGGAAGATCCCTCATGCCACGGAGCAACTGGGCCTGTGTGCTACAACTGCTGAGCCTGTGCTCTAGAGCCCATGACCCGCAGCTACTGAGCCCATGTGCCACAACTACTGAAGCCCGTGTGCCTACAGCCTGTGGTCCACAACAAGAGAAGCCACTGCAATGAGAAGCCCACACATTGCAATGAGGAGTAGCCCCCGCTCACCACAACTAGAGAAAGCCCACATGTAGAAATGAAGACCCGACGCAGGGAAAAAATAAATAAAAATAAATTTTAAAATAATAAATAAATATGAAACTGGAAAAAAAAAGAAAACTCTAAAGCCTCCAACAAAAAGCTATTAGAACCAATAAATGAATTCAGTAAAGTTGTATGATACAAGATTAATATACAGAATTTATGACTTTTCTATACACTAATAGTGAAATACAGAAAGAGAAAGTGAAAAAAAACAATCCCGTTTGAAATTGCAACAAAAAGAATAAAATACCTAGGAATAAACGTAATCAAGGGGGTGAAAAGCCTATACTCTGAAAACAATAAAACACTGATGAAGCACACTGAAGATGATAAAAAGAAATGGAAAGATATTCCATGCTCTTGGATTGGAAGAATTAATATTATTAAAATGGCCATACTTCCCAAAGCAGTCTACAGATTTAATGCAATCCCTATCAAAACACCCATGACATTATTCACAGAACTAGAACAAATAATCGTAAAATTCATATGGCACCACAAAAGACCCCAAATTGCCAAAGCAATCCTGAGAAAAATGAACAAAGCCAGAGGCATCACATTTCCAGATGTCAGACAATATGACAATGCTACAGTAATCAAAACAGCATGGTATTGGCACAAAAACAGACATACAGATCAATGAAATAGAACAGAGAGCCCAGAAATAGCCCATGCACCCTATGGTCAATTAATCAATGATAAATGAGGCAAG